CCAGTATGCTAATTAAGAAAAGTCAATGTAACTAAATTACAGACTTTGTGAGACTATCAGGGACATACCATACATTATACATCTCTGGATGTATCAAAGGTTAAAGATTGTTGTATATAAGATAATTACATTGTGGATTTGTTTTAACTCTATTATGCTTGTTTCATTTTAATTCTAAGTTTACTTTGTTGCTATCAGAGACCTTTGATATATGTTAAACATATTAGAAGAAGAAAAAGAACACTGGTAATTAATTTTGTACTGCTCACATTTTAGTATCGCTGCATTTAACAGTTACCTCCCTTGTAACTCAAGTCGTCGAGTATCCCGAATAATTACCTATTTTTCCTGAACATCTGTTGCCGTTAAAGGTACTGAAAAACCACTAACGATGCGAGTGAATGTAAAACAAGCACTTTAATTTGACTTGTAGACTTTCCTTCCTCAACATTGCAGTACCAATATTCGATGCTAAATTTCATTGATCTCCCAACAGAAAGGTATTTTACTGGGCACCGGGTTAATCCTACATATTTATAACACATTGCATTACTGAAAACAAACATTCAATGATTAGATATATCTACACATTGGCAATCTTAAAGATCGTAAGTGTTTTCACAAATATTGAATAGATCTATAAATATTGCTCACTTTTTTCATCACGATTTGTCAGAATGATAACTTATCTTTGCAAATCTCCGTGTGCAACACTAGTGTACAGACATTAACAGGTCTGTTGTGTCAAATTACAGTTTGAAACACTTTTCTTCCATTAATTACCCTTTGTCAGGAACAAAACTGAGAAAAATTAATAGAAACCAGCATTTCGCCATTTCAAAACATCCGCCATCTTTTTTTCTAGGAATGACAGGCTCAGCAACTAGTCTCTATCACTCAAACGTTTGAGATTTGGCGTTGATTTATGCTTTGACCAGACTCGAAAACTACAACGCTATATGTGCTGCCTTGCGGCATTTAATGTTCGTTTGAAATCTATTTTCAGAGTGATTTTTACAATGTACATTGTTCCAAAAGCCAGGAAATGAGATAATCTAGGCACTGTCTAACCTGCAATATAATACGCCGAGGATGCACATCTACATGTTGGTGTCATTTAAACAAACGTACACCCAAATAATGTTGATACAATGCAGTTAGGTGAGAGGACAGTTAAAACAGAAAAGTTTTCGTGGAACATTCGACCACTATTCAAAGCCATTACATATGCATTTTGTTGGAAACTACGTTGAATTTCCGTATCCAACAATATAAATCGGTCGCTATTAGGTTGGGTTTTTTTTCTTCCAAAACGAACGGCATTTAAATTCAGAATGTGTGGGTGTCTATCAAAGATAGTTGCAGCATCTTCTTGTTTGTTAAAATAGCGAAATTAAAAGATAATGATAATGCTATACGGAAAGATAGAATAAGAATAAAAGAATGAAAATAATTGATAAAGAAATTGATTGATCGTATCTTACTTTTTCATCTTCCCGATATCTTTGACCTGATCCACGAATAAATAGGTAAGTTTTTTCTCCCAAAGCAGACAGTTTCCGGAAAATATCTACTTACAATATTAAACGTCTACAACTAAAAATTTACAAAGCAATGATAATAACCTAAAACTAAAACTTACAGGTTTTTTTTTTTTATTATTGTATTTCTTCTCATCCACATCCTTAGTTATTTTGAGTACGGACTTTGGCAAAGTCAAAAGTCAACATTTAAAAAGTATTAATGTGGAGACAAGCACGGCCGTACATAAAACACAGAATAAACAAACATAAACAAATATTTTGATATATTATTTATTATTTAGACATTTCTATATTCCAATACATACAAAGCTTTCTGATAGTTCATGATAGTATCACGGTTAATACTCTGCACATCTTAATCCTATTTAACATATTCAGAATTCTAGTTTCATTTTAGATATAATATATACATACCAACACGTAAATACTTAGATAATGCAGAAATAAACCTCCTTGTAGATGTAATAACATAGAAACAAGTTAGAGTGTATATAACTGGATTGTAAATAGAACATATTTATTTGCAAATATCACCGATTCGTAAATAACAGAGAATTACGCATCGTTGTAAATATAAACAATCTATATAAATAACATAGAAACAAATTTAACTGTAGAAATAACTGGTGTGTAAATTCAAATGACATAGAAATAAAGCTTTAATATACATAAATTAAAGGTTCACTGGAAATGTAACTGGTGGATAGTGTAGATATAAGTGTTCTATAGATACAAGTACCATTGTAAATATAGCCGGGAGGTAATGTAAAAATATTTTTCTATCAGGCAATAAACATAGAGTTAATTTTACAACTTAGATATAGGTAACAAGTAGAAACAAAGACACAATTTAAATATAATCCTTGTACAGAAAATGTACAAATAAAGTAAAAAATTATATGAAAATATCAAAAAATACATTTTATCTTCTATTGTAAATATGTACTCATATGTAGAATTATGGTTCATTGTAAATATAACTGGCGAGTACATAATGTAGAAATAGGGTTCGTTGTAAATATAACTGGTGAGTACATAATGTAGAATTATGGTTCGTTGTAAATATAACTCGCCAGTACATAATGTAGAAACACGGTTCATTGTAAATAGAACTTGCGAGTACATAATGTAGAATTATGGTTCATTATAAACTTTATTAATTTTACAACAATTGTGAGTCAAGTTATTTTAACTTTTATTGATTGCTCTTGTTGGCCTGTATGAAAGCGTGCGAGAGCTCTTGCGGTGGGAGGAAACCGGATTTCCTGTAGAAACCCCATGTGGTCGGGAAGGTGTTCCCTTACCTTGTTACGTACGTTCGGTGGAATCGAATCCCAGACGGCTGGGTGAGAGGCGACTACCATTGTAAATACAACCGGTATGGAAATAATGTTGAAATATACGTATGTAGTTCCGTTGTAAATATAACGGCATGTAATTATGTAGAAATATAACGTCATTGTAAATATAACGTTATGTAAATATTGTGTAGTTCCACTGTATAATGTAGAAATATACACATGTTAATACTGTTGTAAATATAACGTTATGTAAATATTGTATAGTTCCCCTTTATAATGTAGAAATATTGTGTAGTTCTGTTGTAAATATAACGGTATGTAAACATTGTGTAGTTCCACTGTATAATGTAGAAATATACACATGTAGCTCTGTTGTAAATATAACGTTATGTAAATATTGTATAGTTCCCCTGTATAATGTAGAAATATACACATGTAGCTCTGTTGTAAATATAACGGTATGTAAATATTGTATAGTTCCACTGTATAATGTAGAAATATACACATGTAGCTCTGTTGTAAATATAACGGTATGTAAACATTGTGTAGTTCCACTGTATAATGTTGAAATATACACATGTAGCTCTGTTGTAAATATAACGGTATGTAAACATTGTATAGTTCCCCTGTATAATGTAGAAATATACACATGTAGTTCTGTTGTAAATATAACGTTATGTAAATATTGTGTAGTTCCACTGTATAATGCAGAAATCATGCATCACTGTATGTAATTGTACATAAGTAGTACACAGACATCGCTCCACTGCATACTATCTATATGTTTATACATATAGCTTAAAAATATTGACTTACGTCTTGTATTAGTAACCTTTTTACCTCAAAGACATAACCTTGCTGGTAATTATAAATTAATGAACCTACGTTTGGTGTCATTAACAGAACGTATTATAAAGTAGAGCCCGATTCTAACGTTAACAATCATAGTTAACATTGTATCAATAACTCAAACAATGAAATACACAGAAACAGACGTTAAAGCGACAACTAAGAACACAATATCACAGATATTTTCAACACACATTCAACAGTCTCAATATTACACAGCACTGTTAAACACAACACAAATAACAGCATCGCTTCAAAGACGTCAAACACGATACCTAATCTAGCTACTCTGACTGGTCGCAGTAAGCAGTAAATATGACTATAACATAATATAGCACATGACTTAGTTACACTGACTGGTCACAGTAGGCAGGTAAATATGACTACAACATAATATAGCACATGACTTATTTACACTGACTGGTCGCAGTAGACAGGTAAATATGACTTTTACATAATATTTCATGACTTAGTTACACTGACTGATCGCAGTAAGCAGGTAAATATGACTATTATATAATTTTTTACGACTTAGTTACACTGACTGGTCGCAGTAGACAGGTAAATATGACTTTAACATTATAATTCACATGACTTAATTGCATTGACTGGTCGCTGTAGGCATGTAAATATGACTATAAAATAATATATATCATGACTTAGTTACACTGACTGGTCGCAGTAAGCAGGTAAATATGACTATTACATAATTAAATCACATGACTTAATTACACTGACTGGTCACAGTAGGTAGGTAAATATGACTATAACACAATATATCATATAATTTAGTTTCACTGACTGGTTGCAGTAGACAGGTAAAATGTGCTTCTAACATAGATGACAGCAATACATATTACAGCGATGTGTCGAATGAAACAGTCAAACCCGAAGACGTGATCTAGTTTCTCTCACTGGCCGCAATAGAGAGGTAAAACACAACACAACATATTGGTATCGTGAGGATAAAAGAAGGCGGCTGATATTCATTCGACTTGCACTAAAATGATGAATGTGTCGTCACTTGAGTGATGGAGTGGCCGGTGTCAAGAACCTCACAGTCAAAAGGTTATGGCAGACCAGCGATGGAGGGGACACACAAGTGTTAAGTCTGGTCGTCCACTTTACTGTATAACCTGTAGACACGGGAATGGACTCTGAGCTCCGTTAGAAACGTCATCGTTTTCAGTGTATAAATTACGCTTGCAGCATAGTTTCATTAGATGGAATAACATCCAAGGTTCGGTACACAGTGACGTAAGCATTTAATGTGGACAGACTCAACGATCTTCACAAATCAAAAATGTCAAGCATACGACTCGTTGTTTCTCTCTCGCCGTCTCTGACGGCGTAAACGGAGATGTTTACGGATCACGATGACAATGCTCGCAATCAGCACAATACACAGAGCTCCAGCCAGGACACTTACCACCACTTTTAGGTCACCATTGCTTTCAGAAAATTTCCCAACATCCGGGGTACCTAACTGGTACGTTTTAGTCGTCATCTCATCTGACTCTCCGGTCTCTCCGTGAATGTTATCTTCATTTCTAGAGAGCGAATAATCCACGAAATCTGTAAATGTATACATACGTTGTAAGTCGTTAATGTGTTAAGATCTATCACAGTCGAACCTGTCTATAAAGGTCAACCAATGGCGCTATGAAATAAGGTCTCTAGAGACTGGTGACCTTTATGTAGAGGTCCAGTATACTTGGGACTGAAACAAGTGATTATTTGTTAATAAAGAAGTTCGTTTCAAAGCAGGTTTGGCTGTGTGTTATGATTACTTATTTAATCTTGTCAGTGATAAATTGTCGCGTTTTCCTTTAAAAAGAGCATTTCTTTCAATGCACTTTGATCTGTACCTTCCACTACCAGCCACTGCTAAATACTATAACAACTTATTTTCAAAGATATATAACAGAAATATTTCATAACCTGTGTTTATCAAAATGGGAGCGTGGGGGGGGGGGGGGGGGGGAGAGGAGGTACACGAACCCAAAATCAGCACTAGATTACCCCAACATCGATCTCACACCGCTAGTTATTACAATGTATACTTATGGGCGCAAAGTCTTTCAAAACCTTACTCCAAACTAAATGCTTTTCACAAATGGAATAGCGACGCCGACAAGCACGCCAATTAGCTGAAAAAACCTTGAGCACCATGTATAGTCACATGTACAACAGTCTACCCGCACTGCATCAGATTATACTACACCAATAACAATGCACGGTAAAATTTTGAATTTTGAACATGCGAATAGTTGCTACTTTGTTCAGGAATGATATCAGTAATAATATCTATTGACCAAGAAATTCAAATCCATATAATAAGGTGACAGTGAGCATAAAACATTTCTCATCCCTTTAATTTACCTTCTTGTATTTCTGGATTAGACCCGGAATCATAATACGAGGACGGCTCGAAGTTATCTTGTTCCATCAGGAGTTGTGTCTCTTTGAGCATGGATGACTTTTCGTTGAATACGAGACAGTAGAATGAACCGTGAGTGTTGATACATACAGACACACCCACTTCCGGTTCTGGACAGGCAGGAGAATCGTCACACTCGTTTATGTCTAAAAGACAACGGACGGTAAGTTACTACAACATCTGGTTCGAGTATGTCGGTAACTTTACTAGGCAAGATGTATGAAACAAATTAAATACAGGTTACAGAAACATAACAACCGAAAGTCTCCTAAACTCACGGTACCACAGGGACATGAAGGCAGATAATATAATGCCACTCTCTCACGTGTATTAATGTCCGTATGTATTTTTTAGCCCCATTATGATGGTGGTGGGCTATTCTAATCGCCCTACGTCCGTGCTCCGTTGTTCGTCCGTTAACAATTTTTATTACCGCTGTTTCTTGAGAAGTACTTGATGAATATTTCTCAAATTTTATATGTAGGTTACCCCTGGTCCGTAGATGTGTCCATTTGATTTTGGGTTTAATCAAAAAACAAAATGACAGGCAGGCGGCCATCTTGATTTTTAACTTTAAAAGTTCGTTATCGCTATTTCTTGAGCCTTTCACAGTCCAAGAAAATAATAAACAATCCAATATGTGGTTAAATATCAGGTGTATACATTGATTTTACTTGTGGTCTCTTACCAGAGAACTTACCAGGACTATGATAAATAGTACTCTTAAAACAATGTTAGTATAGAGGGGCATGTAACGCCTTTCTTCCATAAACATTTATATATTTCTCTGTCGTTATATAAACATGCTTCCGAACTACTTGTTAGCTCAAAATGAACTACTTCTGATGGTTTCGACAAACATCTGTCTGAAACAGATTATATTTATCTCTGGTCTACTCTGATGTTCTTACCGTGACATGTCGTATTGTCCATATTCAGCTTAAACCCGATGCGACATCCGCACGTGTACGTCCCGGGGGAGTTAGTACACGTCTGGTCACATAGCCGTAGCTCCGTACACTCGTCCACGTCAGTACAGTTGTGTCCGTTACTGTCCAGTTTATAACCGTCGTAACATAAACAGTCGTACGCTCCATTCCTGGTGGCGGCACACACGTGTTCACATCCGCCATTGGTGCCGTCAGAGCATGCGTCAACAACTAAAATAGAAAATTATAAAATATATTTATAATATACGGCGATGATAATAGGATCATTCTGCGCATTAAAATCACTCACCAATACATCGCCTCTTCAAGGAAAAAACACATCCCAAGTATGCAGTTTAAGTGACAAGTAGTTTAGGAGATAGGTCACGGAGAAACTTTTTCTTTAGAGTAGGCCAAAGGTCAAAATGTATATCTGAGTGATCTACTTTTAATATAACACAAATGTGATGATAATGTTAGGACATAAGGAGCGATTTGACTTTCTCACATTCTCACAGCGCTTGCGGTATAAACTATGTAACGTTTAGACAATTCTGAGGATTGACTTTCTCACATTCTCACAGCGCTTGCGGTATAAACTAGGTAACGTTTAGACAATCTTGAGGATTGACTTTGGACATCACAGTTTGATCTGACGGTACACACCAGGTAACGTATAAACATGCAGGACGATTTGACTTTCTCACAAATCTGACGGCAAACACCAGGTAACGTATAAACATGCAGGACGATGTGACTTTCTCACAAATCTGACGGCAAACACCAGGTAACGTATAAACATGCAGGACGATTTGATTTTCTCACAAATCTGACGGTACACATCAGGTAACGTATAAACATGCAGGACGATTTGACCTTCTCACAACTCCGAAGGTACACACCAAGTAAGATACACCAGGTTAATATGTATGGCCAGTCACTTCCTAGGAAACTTTCACTCCTCTCAACTCAACAGACGGCCTCTTCTCTCTTAGAGAATTAAATTAATCTAATCTTCGTCCTTGTCCTTTGACTTATTTCATTTATGTGCGAAAAGTTTACCAAGAAAATAAAATATAAACATTCATCAACTTAATTATGTGACGAGAGGTTAGCAACAAGATGTTCAGCTTTTACCCTCTCAATGTTAATTAGATACAACTTATTTACAGGACACCAACAACACTATTGATTGCTATATAAAACTAACAAATTTATTTAAACTGATACAGGTACTTACCGTTACACGTGAAGTTGTCGGTGTCCAGTATGTACCCCTCTCGACATCCGCACGTGTACGTCCCGGGGGAGTTAGTACACGTCTGGTCACATAGCCGTAGCTCCGTACACTCGTCCACGTCAGTACATTTGTGTCCGTTACTGTCCAGTTTAAAACCGTCGTAACATAAACAGTAGTACGCTCCATTTCTGTTGGCGGCACACACGTGTTCACATCCGCCATTAGTGCTGTCAGAGCATGCGTCTACAGCTGAGATATAGAATTACATTACCTTTATATTTTTAGAAGTAACCTTGTTGATAAACGAACGAAATATATTATCTTTATGCATCATAAAAGTGTATATAACACCATATCTAGTGGCGGCATACACGAATTGCAATCACTCACCAATACATCGCCTCTTCAAGGTGGAAACACATCCCAAGTATGCAGTTTAAGTGATAAGTAGTTTAGGAGATAGGTCACGGAGAAACTTTTTCTTTAAAGTAGGTCAAAGGTCAAAATGTAGATCTTAGTGATCTACTGTTGATATAACACACAAAATTGTACCTCGAACCTGACTGGATAATGTTTGGACATTAGGAACGATTTTACTCTCTCACATTCTTACAGCGCTTGCGGTATAAACTAGGTAACGTTTGGACAATTTGGAAGATTGACTTTCTCACAGATCTGGCGATATACACCTGGTAACAGTTTGTCATGCAGGACGTTTTGACTTTTTCACAACTCTGAATGTATACACAAGAATATGTTTAAACAAGCCCCCGGAAGATAAGATACACCAGGTTGATATGTGTAACCAGTCACTTCGTAGGAAACTTTCACTCCTCTCAACTCAACAGACGGCCTCTTCTCTCTTAGAGAATTAAATTAATCTAATCTTCGTCCTTGTCCTTTGATTTATTTCATTTATGTGCCAAAAGAGGAAAATCTAGTCCTTGGTAGTTTACCACGAAAGTAAAATATTTATCAATTTGAATATATGAAGAGAGGTTGACAACATAATGTTATGCTCTACTTTTACCGACTCAATGTTAATTAGATACGGCTTATTTACAGAACCCTAACAGAAATATAAATTTACCTTAAAAACTAACAAACTTATTTCAAATCAGAGACAGGTACTTACCGTTACACGTGAAGTTGTCTGTGTCCAGTATGTACCCCTCTCGACATCCGCACGTGTACGTCCCGGGGGAGTTAGTACACGTCTGGTCACATAGCCGTAGCTCCGTACACTCGTCCACGTCAGTACAGTTGTGTCCGTTACTGTCCAGTTTATAACCGTCGTAACATAAACAGTAGTACGCTCCATTCCTGGTGGCGGCACACACGTGTTCACATCCGCCATTGGTGCCGTCAGAGCATGCGTCAACAACTAAAATAGAAAATTATAAAATATATTTATAATATACGGCGATGATAATAGGACCATTCTGCGCATTAAAATCACTCACCAATACATCGCCTCTTCAAGGAAAAAACACATCCCAAGTATGCAGTTTAAGTGACAAGTAGTTTAGGAGATAGGTCACGGAGAAACTTTTTCTTTAGAGTAGGTCAAAGGTCAAAATGTATATCTGAGTGATCTACTTTTAATATAACACAAATGTGATGATAATGTTAGGACATTAGGAGCGATTTGACTTTCTCACATCCTCACAGCGCTTGCGGTATAAACTATGTAACGTTTAGACAATCTTGAGGATTGACTTTCTCACAGTTTGGACATGCAGGACGATTTGATTTTCTCACAAATCTGACGGTACACACTAGGCAACGTATAAACATGCAGGACGATGTGACTTTCTCACAAATATGACGGCAAACACCAGGTAACGTATAAACATGCAGGACGATGTGACTTTCTCACAAATCTGACGACACACATCAGGTAACGTATAAACATGCAGGACGATTTGACCTTCTCACAACTCCGAAGGTACACACCAAGTAAGATACACCAGGTTAATATGTATGGCCAGTCACTTCCTAGGAAACTTTCACTCCTCTCAACTCAACAGACGGCCTCTTCTCTCTTAGAGAATTAAATTAATATAATCTTCGTCCTTGTCCTTTGATTTATTTCATTTATGTGCCAAAAGAGGAAAATCTAGTCCTTGGTAGTTTACCACGAAAGTAAAATATTTATCAATTTGAATATATGAAGAGAGGTTGACAACATAATGTTATGCTCTACTTTTACCGACTCAATGTTAATTAGATACGGCTTATTTACAGAACCCTAACAGAAATATAAATTTACCTTAAAAACTAACAAACTTATTTCAAATCAGAGACAGGTACTTACCGTTACACGTGAAGTTGTCTGTGTCCAGTATGTACCCCTCTCGACATCCGCACGTGTACGTCCCGGGGGAGTTAGTACACGTCTGGTCACATAGCCGTAGCTCCGTACACTCGTCCACGTCAGTACAGTTGTGTCCGTTACTGTCCAGTTTATAACCGTCGTAACATAAACAGTAGTACGCTCCATTCCTGGTGGCGGCACACACGTGTTCACATCCGCCATTGGTGCCGTCAGAGCATGCGTCAACAACTAAAATAGAAAATTATAAAATATATTTATAATATACGGCGATGATAATAGGATCATTCTGCGCATTAAAATCACTCACCAATACATCGCCTCTTCAAGGAAAAAACACATCCCAAGTATGCAGTTTAAGTGACAAGTAGTTTAGGAGATAGGTCACGGAGAAACTTTTTCTTTAGAGTAGGTCAAAGGTCAAAATGTATATCTGAGTGATCTACTTTTAATATAACACAAATGTGATGATAATGTTAAGACATTAGGAGCGATTTGACTTTCTCACATCCTCACAGCGCTTGCGGTATAAACTAGGTAACGTTTAGACAATCTTGAGGATTGACTTTCTCACAGTTTGGACATGCAGGACGATTTGATTTTCTCACAAATCTGACGGTACACACCAGGTAACGTATAAACATGCAGGACGATGTGACTTTCTCACAAATCTGACGGTACACACCAGGTAACGTATAAACATGCAGGACGATTTGATTTTCTCACAAATCTGACGGTACACACTAGGCAACGTATAAACATGCAGGACGATTTGATTTTCTCACAAATCTGACGGTACACACTAGGCAACGTATAAACATGCAGGACGATGTGACTTTCTCACAAATCTGACGGCACACACCAGGTAACGTATAAACATGCAGGACGATTTGACTTTCTCACAAATCTGACGGTACACATCAGGTAACGTATAAACATGCAGGACGATTTGATTTTCTCACAAATCTGACGACAAACACCAGGTAACGTATAAACATGCAGGACGATGTGACTTTCTCACAAATCTGACGGCAAACACCAGGTAATGTATAAACATGCAGGACGATTTGATTTTCTCACAAATCTGACGGTACACATCAGGTAACGTATAAACATGCAGGACGATTTGACCTTCTCACAACTCCGACGGTACACACCAAGTAAGATACACCAGGTTAATATGTATGGCCAGTCACTTCCTAGGAAACTTTCACTCCTCTCAACTCAACAGACGGCCTCTTCTCTCTTAGAGAATTAAATTAATCTAATCTTCGTCCTTGTCCTTTGACTTATTTCATTTATGTGCGAAAAGTTTACCAAGAAAATAAAATATAAACATTCATCAACTTAATTATGTGACGAGAGGTTAGCAACAAGATGTTCTGCTTTTACCCTCTCAATGTTAATTAGATACAACTTATTTACAGGACACCAACAACAATATTGATTGCTATATAAAACTAACAAATTTATTTAAACTGATACAGTTACTTACCGTTACACGTGAAGTTGTCGGTGTCCAGTATGTACCCCTCTCGACATCCGCACGTGTACGTCCCGGGGGAGTTAGTACACGTCTGGTCACATGGTCCATACTCCGCACACTCGTCCACGTCAGTACAGTTGTGTCCGTTACTGTCCAGTTTATAACCGTCGTGACACAAACAGTCGTATGCTCCGTTTCTGGTGGCGGCACACACGTGTTCACATCCGCCATTAGTTCCGTATGAGCATGCGTCTACAGCTGTAAAACATATAACTAGATATGTCATTATATAGCTCTGATATGACGTAATAATGATTGTAGAAAACGACACATAGGACTGCTGTGATGGACGATGCGTGCGTGCGTGCGTGCGTGCGTGCGTGTGTGTGTGTGTGTGTGTGTGTGTGTGTGTGTGCGTGCGTGCGTGCGTGCGTGCGTGCGTGTGTTTCGTGTGTGCGTGTGTGTGAAATGTCTGAATATTTTATATGAAAGTGCTTGCACTTTACTAATAAGAAGTGCTCTCAATAGTATAACTTATATATCATCTGTCCACATACTTGTCAATGATGTTGTTTCCTCGGTGTCTTCGTCCTCCCCCTGGATGTCCGGAGAGATCCCCACCGCAGACGCCGAGCAGTGGTAGCTACCATAGGAGTTAACGCAGATCTGTCCTCCGGTACACAAGCTAGTATTAGCACATTCGTCCACATCTACAAACCAGAAAAAAACATTCGCCAGTATCTAAACTACATAAATACTATCCATTCATCCATGTCCACATCTACAAAACATAGTAATACACTCGTCCATATCTACAATACATAGTAATACACTTGTCCACATCTACAAAACATAGTAATACACTTGTCCACATCTACAAAACATAGCAATACACTCGTCCACATCTACAATACATAGTAATACACTCGTCCACATCTACAATACATAGTAATACACTCGTCCACATCTACAACACATAGTAATACACTCGTCCGCATCTACACTACAGTAATACACTAAAAAAACAATACATAGTAATACACTCGTCCACATCTACAACACATAGTAATACACTCGTCCACATCTACAATACATAGTAATACACTCGTCCACATCTACAACACATAGTAATACACTCGTCCACATCTACAATACATAGTAATACACTCGTCCACATCTACAATACATAGTAATACATTCGTCCACATCTACAATATATAGCAATACACTCGTCCACATCTACAATACATAGTAATACACTCGTCCACATCTACAATACATAGTAATACACTCGTCCACATCTACACCACAGTCTACCACAATACATAGTAATACACTCGTCCACACCTACAATATATAGTAATACACTCGTCCACATCTACAATACATAGTAATACACACGTCCACATCTACAATACATAGTAATACACACGTCCACATCTACACTACAGTAATACACTCGTCCACATCTACAATACATAGTAATACACTCGTCCACATCTACAATACATAGTAATACACACGTCCACATCTACAATACATAGTAATACACACGTCCACATCTACAATACATAGTAATACACTCGTCCACATCTACAATACATTATAATACACTCGTCCACATCTACAAAACACAGGAAAGCAGTCGTCCACACAATAACACATAGAAGTACATTCGCTCAAATCAAAGATACTTAGTAATAGTATTCTTTGATACAGATTGTTCATATTCATTTTAGCTGTAACGCTAGCTGATTAAAGACCTATTTACCAATACCTGTTTTATTTTGTAACTTGTCATTAATTGATACAATTGTTGCTTGCGTACCTTGTAGTTGCACTCTTTGAGGATTTTATAACATACTAATAACACGTGTCGTGACGTGTTGAGCATGTGCCTTAACATAACACGTGTTGAGAGTGTGTCTAACGGTAACACGTGTTGATTTTACGACTTACCGTTACACCTGCTGTTGGTGACACTATCCAAAGAGAACCCAGTCCGACAGCTACACTCGAAACTGCCCACTGTATTTGTGCAGGTTTGTTCACAAGGTCCGTATTCTGTACACTCATCGATGTCCGCACAGTTGTGTCCGTCTATGTCTAGTCCGTACCCAGTGTTGCAGAGACAGACATAGGCACCGCTTCTCGTGCTCACGCAGACGTGCGCACAGCCGCCATTTGTACCGTCCGTGCAAGCATCCACAACTACAATCATAACACATTTGTCTAATACATCGTCACGTAATAATTTTATGTTACATCAATATGTAACGGGAGTTGTATGAGAACGGCATACCTTAATGACATATATTTACCAATTTATAATTAAACAGTTACAACTATATGTACCACTTAGGATGATAGTGATTTATGAGAAGTACTATTGAAAAAAGGCGAAAAACGTAAGACGCTTGGACCTTATTTTGATAAACTCTGACTGAAAAAAAATCCAAAAAACTTACACGTAGGAGTTGGTCCCTGTCAACTCTGTGATATAGTTTTCATCGTTTCATAATACTTACATGTGGCAGTTGGTCCCTGTCAACTCTGCAATATAGTTTTCATCGTTTCATAATACTTACATGTGGCAGTTGGTCCTGTTTCTCCTGGAAATAAAAAAAAAATCGTCATCAGTCAGTAACCTAGTACATGTATGTGAAATGAAGATGTTAGACCTTCACATCGAAGAATACTAATCATTATCCTTTTATCAACTCAGCTACAACATTCAATGCCATGTACCATCCTTGTCTCGTGTACCCAGCCATCATCCGTCTCTCGTGTATCCAGTCATTATCCGTCTCGTGTACCCAGCCATCATCCGTCTCTCGTGTATCCAGCCATCATCCGTCTCGTGTATCCAGCCATCATCCGTTTCGTGTACCCAGCCATCATCCGTCTCTCGTGTATCCAGCCATCATCCGTCTCGTGTATCCAGCCATCACCTGTATCTCGTGTATTCAGCCATCATCCGTCTCGTGTATCCAGCCATCATCCGTCTCGTGTATCCAGTCATCATCCGTGTCTCGTGTATTCAGCCATCATCGGTCTCTCGTGTATCCAGTCATCATCCGTCTCGTATATCCAGCCATCATCCGTCTCGTGTATCCAGCCATCATCCGTCTCGTGTACCCAGCCATCATCCGTCTGTCGTGTATCCAGCTATCATCTGTATCTCGTGTATTCAGCCATCATCTGTATCTCGTGTATCCAGTCATCATCCGTCTCTCGTGTATCCAGTCATTATTCGTCTCGTGTACCCAGCCATCATCCGTCTCGTGTATCCAGCCATCATCCGCCTCTCGTGTATGCAGCCATCATCCGTCTCGTGTATCCAGTCATCATCCGTCTCGTGTATTCAGCCATCATCCGTCTCGTGTATCCAGCCATCATCCGTCTCTCGTGTATGCAGCCATCATCCGTCTCGTGTATCCAGTCATCATCCGTCTCGTGTATTCAGCCATCATCCGTCTCGTGTATCCAGCCATCATCTGTATCTCGTGTATCCAGCTATCATCCGTCTCGTGTATCCAGCTATCATCTGTATCTCGTGTATTCAGCCATCATCCGTCTCTCGTGTATCCAGCCATCATCTGTATCTCGTGTATCCAGCTATCATCCGTCTCGTGTATTCAGCCATCATCTGTATCTCGTGTATTCAGCCATCATTCGTCTCTCGTGTATCCAGCCATCATCTGTATCTCGTGTATTCAGCCATCATCCGTCTCTCGTGTATCCAGCCATCATCCGTCTCTCGTGTATGCAGCCATCATCCGTCTCGTGTATTCAGCCATCATCCGTCTCGTGTATTCAGCCATCATCCGTCTCTCGTGTATTCAGCCATCATCCGTCTCTCGTGTATGCAGTCATTATCCGTCTCGTGTATCCAGCCATCATCCGTCTCTCGTGTATGCAGCCATCATCCGTCTCGTGTATCCAGTCATCATCCGTCTCGTGTATTCAGCCATCATCCGTCTCGTGTATCCAGCCATCATCCGTCTCTCGTGTATGCAGCCATCATCCGTCTCGTGTATCCAGTCATCATCCGTCTCGTGTATTCAGCCATCATCCGTCTCGTGTATTCAGCCATCATCTGTATCTCGTGTATCCAGCCATCATCCGTCTCGTGTATTCAGCCATCATCCGTCTCGTGTATCCAGCCATCATCCGTCTCGTGTATCCAGCCATCATCCGTCTCTCGTGTATGCAGCCATCATCCGTCTCGTGTATCCAGTCATCATCCGTCTCGTGTATCCAGCCATCATCCGTCTCGTGTATTCAGCCATCATCTGTATCTCGTGTATCCAGCCATCATTCGTCTCTCGTGTATCCAGCCATCATCTGTATCTCGTGTATTCAGCCATCATCCGTCTCGTGTATCCAGCCATCATCCGTCTCGTGTATTCAGCCATCATCCGTCTCTCGTGTATTCAGCCATCATCCGTCTCTCGTGTATTCAGCCATCATCTCCCTGTTGTCTACTCTCATCTACTCAACTATCACACTCCTCTCGTTTACTCAAGTATCAACTTTCTCTATTCTCTATAACTATGATCTTTTGCTTATCTACTTGAATATCATCTTTTTCATTTTAGCAATAATTACCATAACGTAAGTATACATATCTTCCACTAGTTCCGTTTCTTTTGTATATAATATAAACAAAACAAGAGAGCGCAGCAATCCCCCTTCTCCGTCTCTCTCTTACCTGTCGCTCTTACCTGTCTGTCGTAACTACCCGCGGTCGGAATTACATCCTTTATCTGTGGCATTATGCTGGGAAGAAGTCTAAGACTGTCTTGAAGGCCGAGTTCAAGAAAGGTAAGAACCTGAGCCAGTTGGGCCTTATCTGTGGTTTCGGAGGGTTTGAGATTCCTTCTATCAGGATCCTCCGTCTGTAAAGCCCATCTCCCTCTTTCGGCCTCACCACTGCCCCTCTGATTTTTACCAAAATGTTACGGGTGATGGTGAACTTCATGCACTCGCCGAGCATAGATGTTCACATCTACTTGGACGATTACCTCCTGTCACACATGGTCAGGGATTCGTTGGCTCTGGATACCCGCTTGGTCCTGAAGCTCTTGCTGAAGGTCGGCTTCATCCCCTCCACAGAGAAGTCGGAGGTATCCCGTGCTCAGGATTTCGTGTTCCTGGGGAACTGCTTCAATACGGTTCTAGGATTTATCTCCCACCAGAGAACAAGTTTATGAAGGCTCGAGACTTGGCTGTAGCCTTCATGAACATACTTCGGGTCCGGGTCCAGGGAAGAGGTCTGGGTCCGGGTGCGGGGAACAGCTCTCGGAGCACATCAATGTGCTGCAGATGATAGCAGGCGGTTCAAGTTAGGGCTCAAGAAATCTGGACTCTTGCTACGTCTCAGACCTCCCTCTCCGGCTCTTCTTTTTAGGAGGTCATGTCAGCTGCCATTTGGCGAGAACAGACCATGTTACTGCCTTTTTTCTCTTGAACTTTTGGTTGTGGCAGACTCGGTAGCTGTTCCGCTAGTGTTAGTCAGTAGTATGAGTCGCATTCCACGTTGTATGTCCGCGGGCGGTTTTTATTCTTCGAATTTTCCCCTTGGATGTTTATTTCGGCTCTTCTTTCTGTACTATATGGGATTTGGTACAGGAAGGTGAGAGTCTCCTCTACGATAAGACGAATTCACATACTAAAGTAATGGTAATTATTACTGAAATGAAAATGATTTTCTTTTATATAAACCAATTTTCATGATATAATTATAACCATTAATTTTTACAAAGTCCTTCCCACTTTTTCTTTCATGGACGTATTTCCGGTCGTGTCAATATACCACGAGTAGGTCACCTGTTTTCTACTCGAATATCATCTTTCCAACATCTACTCGACTATCAACTTTCTCTTGCACTCTTCTCGCCTTCATCGCTATCATAACATTTCATTTATCAACCCTCTATCGGGGATTCCGAAAGAATATTCTCGTCATCTTATCTTCTAAACCTTTATTTCAGGAATCATACCTCTAAAAAAACGTAAAATTTTACCTTTCAAAAATCACAAATTTTTTTTATTATTACTCACCGACTTCACCAGTAACGCCACTGACACCCACTGCTCCCGTACTACCGGTGATACCATCTGCTCCTGTACTGCCGGTGACACCATCCGCTCCCGTAACGCCAGTGACACCCACTGCTCCCGTACTGCCAGTGAATCCCTGTGTTCCCGTACTGCCAGTCAAGCCCTGTTGTCCCGTACTGCCGGTGATACCATCTGCTCCCGTACTACCGGTGATACCATCTGCTCCTGTACTGCCGGTGACACCATCCGCTCCCGTAACGCCAGTGACACCCACTGCTCCCGTACTGCCAGTGAATCCCTGTGTTCCCGTACTGCCAGTCAAGCCCTGTTGTCCCGTACTGCCGGTGATACCATCTGCTCCCGTACTACCGGTGATACCATCTGCTCCTGTACTGCCGGTGACACCATCCGCTCCCGTAACGCCAGTGACACCCACTGCTCCCGTACTGCCAGTGAATCCCTGTGTTCCCGTACTGCCAGTCAAGCCCTGTTGTCCCGTACTGCCGGTGATACCATCTGCTCCCGTACTACCGGTGATACCATCTGCTCCTGTACTGCCGGTGACACCATCCGCTCCCGTAACGCCAGTGACACCCACTGCTCCCGTACTGCCAGTGAATCCCTGTGTTCCCGTACTGCCAGTCAAGCCCTGTTGTCCCGTACTGCCGGTGATACCATCTGCTCCCGTACTACCGGTGATACCATCTGCTCCTGTACTGCCGGTGACACCATCCGCTCCCGTAACGCCAGTGACACCCACTGCTCCCGTACTGCCAGTGAATCCCTGTGTTCCCGTACTGCCAGTCAAGCCCTGTTGTCCCGTACTGCCGGTGATACCATCTGCTCCCGTACTACCGGTGATACCATCTGCTCCTGTACTGCCGGTGACACCATCCGCTCCCGTAACGCCAGTGACACCCACTGCTCCCGTACTGCCAGTGAATCCCTGTGTTCCCGTACTGCCAGTCAAGCCCTGTTGTCCCGTACTGCCGGTGATACCATCTGCTCCCGTACTACCGGTGATACCATCTGCTCCTGTACTGCCGGTGACACCATCCGCTCCCGTAACGCCAGTGACACCCACTGCTCCCGTACTGCCAGTGAATCCCTGTGTTCCCGTACTGCCAGTCAAGCCCTGTTGTCCCGTACTGCCGG